AAGGAAGGAAGGAAGGAAGGAAGGAAGGAAGGAAGGAAGGAAGGAAGGAAGGAGAGAAAGAGAGAGCTGCTCCATCAAATCGAGTTTATTTCCTTTCCTTTCTCTCTTCTCCTCCCCCAACAGGACCCAAAGCCGACCCCCAGCTGTACAGCAGCCTCCCCCACCCCAAGCAGGAAGACGTGGAGCAGATGCTGGAAACACCCACCCCCCACGGCAAAGACTGGCGCAGCCTGGCCAACCACCTGGGCTACGAGGAAGAAACCATCGAGACCTTTGACCGGGGAGAAGCCCCTGCCCACACGCTGCTCTCCGATTGGTCAGCCCGGGAGGGGGCCACCCTGGAGGTCCTGTGCACGGCACTGGCCGCCATCGAGAGGGGGGACGTGGTGGACCGTTTGAACGTCCCCGTCGAGGTCAGCTCTGTGGTGTGAAGGACGCGCTCTGCAGCCGATGGACCTGCAACGATTATTTTTGTCAATCTGGGTTTTCCTTAAAAATAAAACAAAATTTTAAAAAGCAGGGTAGTAGAGGGAGGGGGAAGAAAGGGACGGATGGGGACACTTTTGATACTGTAATAGGACCTTCTTTTTTTTTTTTTGGACGAAAAAAGGAAACAACCAGGGACTGTGGCTGCAAGCGAAGAAGAGGCTTAGCAGGAGACAAACCAGCTGGATGCGTTCTCTGCTCCAGGGACGTTCTTTATCTAGAACAGCCATCTCGGACTTCCTGGTGGCCTCCTATCCACACTGGTTTAGCTTTTGGAGGTCAGCTAGATCCTTCCCTTTGGTCAACCCAATTCTCTCTCTCTCTCTCTCTCACACACACACACACACCCCCTCTGCAGACATGTCATTCTCGGCCTCACGTCCTTTTTGTCCCACGCCTCGCACCCTGCATCATGTGGCCCTCACAGGATGCTGGCACCAGGTTGACCACCAACAAAACATGGCTTAAAAAAACCATTACAGCTCATTACACAAACAAGCTGCTGGATGGCTTCTGGGGCGGCCTTGTCCACGCAGCAAGGACAGTGGCTGTGTTCCCACAAGACGTTAAACCACCAAACCCCGCAACCCCATTTCAGTGTAACCTAGCAGATGGTGTGAACTCTGCCTAGCTAAAGTGGAGTATCCAGAGATGTCTGCTTTACAAAGGGGAGGGGCTTCGATCGCATGGTGTTGGCCACCATCTTGACTTTTTTGACCCACCTCTGCATATCCCCTGGGCTACCCTTGGGATCCCGTTGCCTTTCTGGCCAAAATGCTTCCCCAGGACTGAGTTTTGCTCCTCTTTCCTTTGACTTGATTCCCACAAAGATGAAACGAACTGCACTGGTCCAACCCCAACTCTGAGCCATAAGCCATAGTTAACAGACCACAATGGCTATGCACACCAACCTGATAAGCCAAGAATAACTAGCTTGCATGATGGCTCCATGCACTATCCCAGTTTACACAGTACAGCTGTGCTTCTCAACCTCAGCAACTTTAAGATGTAGGGACTTCAATTCCCAGAATTCCCCAGCCAGCTGTGCTGGCTGGGGAATTCTGGGAGTTGAAGTCCCTACATCTTAAAGTTGCTGAGGTTGAAAAACACTGCAGCATGATATAGTGTGTTGCAGCATAGTTTGATCTTGGCAATTGTGGTTTGTCGAGTGGGCTTAGGGTCGGGCATTTGCCGTGAACGTGGTCAGCAGATAGAAATTGCCTGAAGCAAACGAGCCTCCCGCTGCCCTTCCGAGCCCAACTTCCCTGGTGAACTCTTGGTGCCTTTTTTTAAAAACGAAACCATCCAACACCACAGATTAAAGCCAGGCTATTTCCAGATACCTTCCTGTTGAGAAGACCTCACCGGTCTCTGCAGCAGAAGTCTGTCTTTTCACCATTTTCCAGATTCAATTTGCCATTCTCTTGTTCACTTCCCCCCCAAACATTGCAGTGAGTACCCATTTTGTCTTTCTTTCTTTCTTTCTTTCTTTCTCTCTCTTTCTCTCTTTCTTTCTCTCTTTCTCTCTCTTTCTTTTCTTTTCTTTCTTTCTTTCTCTCTCTCTTTCTTTCTCTCTCTCTCTCTCTCTTTCCCTTCCTTCCTTCCTTCCTTCCTTCCTTCCTTCCTTCCTTCCTTCCTTCCTTCCTTCCTTCTCCTTGGCAAGATTGCCCACCTAACCCAGAGTCCTTGCCCCATGGCGAGAGGACAATTGCATTCACACGACACTTTGAACCTGCCTTCTGAATTAACTCATGTTCTGGATTTGTGCAACCCATTGGCTAAGTATAACCAGAGGAGCTGCATATGGGCGTAACACGCTAAACCCCATTTTTGCAAAAAAATGCAACTCTCTACGCAAAGATTTCCAGGAACCAAGCTTAGTGTACGAGTTCACCTGACCTGTTTTTGCAATGCGGCTGGCATCTCCTCCTCCCTGGATGACCACTGCTGAGCCATCCATGAATATTCAGGCTGCGCACGCTTCAAAAATTATTCCAAAACAGTGCTCTGGACCTTGGGTGAGTCCAGCCCCTCTCCGCCATTCATTAAAACAGCTGGGTCCTTTTGGAGGCCTCCACATCAGCCTGGGACAAGATGCGGCTGCTTTAAAAGTTTTGATTTGAGTCCCCTCCTTAAAGCATGTTTTTAAGGCAGACACAGAAGCCTGGAAAAAGATGGGTTGCTTGGATGGGTCAAAGGAAGACGCTGGACTTGCATGGGGTCCAAATCACAGCTTCCAAAAAATCTGAGGATCTAACACAGTGGCCGTGGTGTGTCCCTTCCCTGGCAGAGGAGTGAATGGATTATGCCTTTTCCAATCTCTCTTCCAATCCTTCCTTTCCATGAATTTTCAAAGCACACCGAGCTCTACCCAGTGGGCAGCTAAGTCTTATGAAGATCAGATAAATTTGCTTTTCTAAAGCAGCTACGGATGGGCTCGTCTGTCCCGTAAGGAAGGAAAGCAGAAAAGTGAAGCAACGGAGGGAGAGCCAGAAAGGGAGACGAGATGATTGCACCAAAAATCAAGAAGGAAAGGAGACCGCTGTATAGAGAGAAGAAAGGTGCTGGTCCTCTTTGCAACCGAGTTAACGACCATTCTGTAAAAAAGCATGGAGTTTTGCTGATGTACTTCTTTAAAGACCATACGAGTTGTTTCCACAACCTTATTGTTAAATAAAGTTTTCCTTGTTCATTGTTCCTAATCAACGGGTCCTCTGTTCATCCAAGATCCTGCCTTCAAAGAGAAAGAGAGGGGATCCTCGTTATAAGAACTCGTCATTGTTCTGGTGGCAGTGAGATTTGGAAGTATATTTAAGTTTCCTCCAAATAAATGATGCCGATTCTGACCAGAGGGTCCCGGGATCCCCACAGGTCTCCAGGAAATCCCAGATTTTTTTCAACAGGATGGCTGGAATCGCAACTCCTGCAAAGCCCCATGAGAGAGGGCAAGTTTGGAAGCTTCTCAGATACATTGGTTGGTCACCAGAAAGTCTAATTCAGTGTTTCTCAAGCTTGGCCCCTTTAAGGTGGGTGGACTTCCACTCCCAGAATTCCCCAGCCAGCCATGGGGAGTTGGGAGTTGAAGTCCACCCACCTTAAAGGGGCTGAGCTTGAGAAACACTGGTCTAATCTGAAATGAGGCAGCTTTTGGCCTGGTCCAGATTCAGGGCTTTTCTTTGGTTCTCTCCTTGACCCCAAGAGCAACTGGTCCAAAGCTTTGCTGGGAACATTTTTATATCGAAGCACCCTAGAGGAGCATAGTGGGGGATAGAATGGTAGATCTCGGCAGGATTTCCCAGCCTTCGCCTCCATCAGTTGGGAGGTCAGCTCCCAGAATTCTCCAACCAACATGGCCAGCCCTGAGGATTCTGGGAGTTGAAGTCCACCCATCTGGAAGTTCCAAGATAAGGAACCCCAATCCAACTCTTTTCAGCAGTCTTGGGGAAGGCGATCGGGTGCATTTCAGGACCATTCCCAAAGGGTGCCTTTATCCAACTGAATGCACCGTCAGAGAAAAGCTTCAGAATGTCCTTTCACAAATGAACCAAAATTGAGATGCTCCCATGTTTGGGCTGAATGGGATTTCATGGAGAAGCTTGGTCCGTTCCTGGTTGTGGCTTATCCATCAAATGCCTTTGTTCCCTCAAATAAAAGAGGTTCACGGTGACTTCTACCATTTCTGGTTAGAAGCCAAGTCTTTGTTTAGTTTGGATCATCTGCTCTGGGGTGGGAGATCTGGACGTAGCATTCCTTTTTGTCCAAATAGGGCAATGTTGATACTGAGTTTTAATTCTTCTGGTTGACCAGGGCGGTCAGAAGAAAGGACTTTTTGCCTGATCTACTTATCTTAGTGCCAGCAGGGGACCTTTCCTAACTCAGAGTTGTCCGACCTGCTGGAGCTGCACAGGGCATCTATGGAAGGGGAGGGAGGTCAGAAAAGTCAAGATGGAGCCCACAAGCATGCAATGGAAGCTCTGCTCCTGTTATGCACATAACAACAGTGACCTGCTGAAATTTGTGGCTGCAGTTGGACATTACACATTTTTGTTTTATTTCTGTGGAGAATTACATTAAGTAGGAAGGGCTGAGAGGGACACTTGTAAAAACTCCATTGTGAGCCAGATCCCAGATGGGGGAGTTTGTTGTGCCATTAAAGAACTGAAAATCCCAAACTGAGCTAAGCCTCACTGGGGGTCCTGCCAGGATTTTCCAGATGTCCAACAGATGTTACTTTGCCCTTCCTTCCCTTCCTTCCCTCCCTCCCCCTGCTCCCTCCCTCCCTTCCTTCTTTCCTTCCTTCTCTCTATCCATCTTTCTCCCTCCCTCCCTCCCTCTCTCTCTTCCTTTTCTTCTCCCCCCCTCTTCTTTCATCTCCTCCCCCCCCTCCCACCCGGCCTTTCTCCCCCTTCCTCCTGCCCCCCTCCTCCCTTCCCTCCCCCTCCCTCTTTTGGCTTTAT